TTTTTTGTTGAATAGTTCTGATGTTTTAGTTCTTTACGTCGCTGTTCAGAGGCCATCTGTTCTTGATCAGTCAACTTTCTACGTCCAGCAACACCATTGCTAATCTTCGTCTTAAAATCGATTATAAAGTCAGTTTTCATAATACTTTCTTAATCGTAATATATCGAATGAGTATCAGTTTACCTTGTTGGAGTTGGTATAAAGAAAAGCGAAGGAACACTTACATTGATAAGTGTTCCTTCGCTTTTCTTTATTTCTTAAATATGTCTGATGTTTTAGTTCTTTACATCGCTGTTCAGAGGTCAACAATTCTGGTTCAGTCAACTTTTTACGTCCAGCCCCACCCCTGCAAATCTTCGTCTTAAAATCGATCATAAAGTCAGTTTTCATAATAGTTTTCGTAATCGTAATATATCGAATGCGTATCAGTTTACATTGTTGAAGTTGGTACTTCAAATACTTGATAACGTCTTTCACTTATCTGATGTTTTAGGCCAGATGTCAGTCAATATTCAAGAATGCGAAGTGCTCCTTCTGGAGCAGTGATAATGCAACTGGCTTGATATTTTTTGATTTCTTTGTTGTGAAGCGTTATATTTGTTTACTCGGCATTGTTGTGGAACACAACAATGCCGTGTAAACAAATATCTGTTGACATTGTTGATGACGTCATTTTTTGACGAGGAATCACAAATTTTTATAGTAAGAAGATATCACTCTGAGTTAGTTACTATCACAGTTAAATATTTAAGTGCAACTTAACAATGACAACAAATTTCTCAATGAAAATAAGGGATTTATATGTGAACATGTTTGCCATGGACTTTCAACAAACTGACAGGGTCTGGTGGAGGGCTTTGGTTAATTCGGTGATGAACTTTCAGTTTCGGTAAGCCATCTAGTTAGTTAGTTTCAACAAACTGACCAGCTTTATAAATTAGTGGCCCACAAGTCGATAAGATAAGATAAGTGTGACCCCAGCCTTGAAGGGCTGAGAATGTCTGATACAATCAAACAAGATGAGAGATTTGGGAGTAAAAAAAGGCTATTTAAATCATGCACACTTAAGCAATAACATTGCTTCTAATCCAAAATAACTTGTATGCCTTGTTAATTAAAGATAGAGAAAGCCTTCTTGGAATTCATTATACAATTTTACACCCAAGAAATAATGATGCTGGGCAGTATCAAAGAAGAAATATTACCAGTAAATCTACAGAGGGGTTAAACTTCAAACACATAAAGCAAAGACAAAATTCCCCAGTGGAATTTATATATATATATATAATAATTTCAAAACACGGTAAATCGAGGCGTTTAATTTCGAGATGAAACAAAGCCACTGTGAGTGTGTCAAAGTGGAGATGACCTTGGCGTTGCAAATGGGAGTCATGCGAGTGATGATTCTGCATATATCTCTGTTTTCTTTGTCCATAGCCACTTGAATGAAGGTCGCAACGTTTTCTCCACTTCATTTCTTCTCAACGACTCCAAAGGAATTCCATTCTGGAATCACAATTATTTATTGAGTTACTGTATAAGGCATTTGCGTGGATGGAAGCCAGTCAGGATAGCGGGTCTTTAGGCCGAGATTTGAGACCAGGACCTCCCGAATACGAAGCAGGACTGCTAACCGCTCGACGACGACCTACGGAGGTGGTTTGTTTTGTACAGGATTTATTGGGCAATTCTTCATAAAAATTGGAGCACAATCTTAAATTCTTCCCTGATACAAAATGAAGCTCGGGAAATCGGTGTTTATGAACTCCCTTCTACGTATGGAACATAATCACAATGCATTACATAACGCGAAGGACTATTCGTAAGACATTACAGTTGCTAATAAAGACCCATCTCTATTCTGAATTTTTCAAGTGTTATTTTCCTGTAGTTACCTTATAAAAGTTCTTTAATGCGAATCGAATAAATAAAATAAGTAAACCCTATTCCGTTCTTACCCTTAAAATCATCGTCCAATGTCCTCAGAACAGGATACCATTCCACGCTGGAATAATTGATTTTGGGAAGTTTACCGCCATAATCTTCAGGCAGGTACGATGGATCAATGTGTTCATGGAGCGACTCCATTTTCTTTCCGTGGAAGAACAACTGTGCGCATAAGAAATTACATTTTAAATTATAGAAGTTGTATTTCAAACCGTATCAGATCATTTATTTAGTTGACTTCTACATGCAGAAGATTGTAACATTGAGATTTTGCAGTTTGCTACTTCAAGATAACTAAATCTATTAGCGCTGGTCTTGTGCTGTGAAATACCTCCTCTTGTAGCTATGATTTATTCCTTCTTTACAGTTTCTGATAATTTATAATTAAATTTATTATTCCATTTTCATTTAATATTATACAACTATTTTCTTTTATGTTTATTGTACATTTTTATAATTCATAATTCTGTTATAAGCTAAATTTTCATTAACGTTAAGACATTTTCGTCTCTAAAATTATTCCTTCTTCTTTTTCTTTGTCTACACGGGATCTGTAATACCTTCTTCCCCTGAAATTTTAATTTACTTTACAGTTTATAACAAGTAAAAATGAAAAACAAGTTCCAAGTAGAACACAACTGCCTAAATTTTACTATTAATGAACACTTTTCTAGTATTTTGCTTTAACCGATTCTAGCCTGAATTTATATAAGTTAACCTTCTTCTGTTGGTGTATTTTCATAGTAATGTATAAATTTCTTTGCTTAAAAGACTTTCGTGTTAGCTTCAGTTTAAATATTCATACAAACTCTTTCGCTGATCTCCCCACATTCCAAATATATCCATATCACTAATTAGATTATGCAGTGTATAGAGTAGACAGGGTTAAAGTTAACTATAATTACTAGCTTGTCGATAATCTGTTTCTCAAATTAAATTTTCCTACACGAATAACAGTTTTATTACATAGTAATTTCTGATAGCCGCAATATTTCTGGAATCACAGAATTAGTAATGGTTTCTCTTCTAGTGTGTGTGGAACTGAAATTCAAAGTCAGAATTCATGAATTCACAAGAACTACAAGACATGATGTTGATATTAAAATCACCAGACGATCATAACCATTAAATGTAAAATTAGGTCTTGTTGTACAGCCTCCATGTCTGTGAAGTCGAGGAAGCCATGCGCGTCACTCATTGAGACAAAGCGGCTTTATCATCTAAGATAAACACATGTTTCTGTGCTATATATCACATTCTCATCACTTACCCTCTTCTTCAACTTTTCCTTAACGAAGGGTTTGAACATTTGCCATACCATGTTGAACAGGAATGGTTGATTAACAATGTGAACCTCCTTCAGTCTTAATGGCATTGCTTCCTGGAAAATATTGACACACATTCTTAGTTATTAACCATTTCAAGCCGAAGCTCGTATAAATAATATTTAAGAAGTCGGTCCGTACCGATAAGAAAACACAACAGTTCACCATTGCAAGAAACATCTTGCTGACACTGTTTAAAGAAATAATCGCTGTTTACAAAATGAAAATTTATTGATTATTGAAGAGGGTGGGACATATGGTTACCATTGGGCTTTAAAGGATTAAAAAATTATTTTCTAGCGAACCATTCTTTAAGTTTTTTTGTTCTGTCTCATTGTTCTGTTGTTTCTTATTGTTTTTGTTGTCTTATGTTTTGTTGTGTCTTATTGTAGGACCACTGCCACCGGGTAAAAACCCATTTGCAGTCAAATAAATAAATAAAAATAAATAAATAAATATAAAATTGCTAGAAGTGCTTAAAATAAATATGGACATAGTTTACTCAAATACAACACATAATAATCATGAATATGATGTGAATTCAATAAATCTCATATAAGCCTAGTATTGGCACTGCCACTGTGATAAATACATAGCCACTGTACTATTTAGTTGCCTGAATTGGCCAAAACCTCTTGATCTTCTGACCCAGGATTTATTTATTCAATAATGAAAATGGTTGTCTTCTGGGTTGTAGCACCATGTAGTCTGGTAGAAGTTTACTGATGTTTCTAGCAGACTACATGGTATAACAACACAGAATACAACCATCTTCAAACTCACCACTGTAAGAACCTCAAATCTTATTTATTCAATAATGTCACAAATGCATATACAACAGGACAAAGTTTCAGACTAGAGCTCTAGAATATGATTTTACTGAATTGATCTATATGGACATCATATAGTTTCCTGTCTTCTGGACTGTAATGCCATGTGGGCTGTAGATGGAAGCAGTATGTTCTCTGAGGCATTGGTACTTACCAAATAATCCACAGTGCCACAACCAAGAAGACCAACAATGACATTTCACTGCCATGAGAAACTGAAATCTTTATAAACTAACCTGAATTTGATAATAAATGCTAACTACACTTCACATATCAAAATATTATAAGCTATTAGAATGTATAAATAATACATGGAAACAAAAGACTGTTTACCTAATGTGAGCTACTGTGTAATAATAAAAATAATGTACAGCAAAGAATATAAAGTGAAAATTTCATTAATCTGCCTATATGGTAGAGGCATACAAAGGTTTCAGCATTTGATTACAAGATGTAACTCTGTTGTATTCCCCAGATCTAGTCTACACTATGAAGGAATGGTAAGAAAATATTCAGACAGGTCATGTTTACAACAAAATAAAGGCTGGTTCACAACCCAATTTAGAAAGCTCAATTAAGGAGAAATACATTTGAATTTTTCAATAGGCACTTTTGTAAATGAAGGGATATCATCATGTAAGTGAAGTCTAGGAAACAGAAATCTGTCTTTTAAAAATGCATAAACATGAATTAGTACTAAATCCTTAATGGCATCTAAAGGATATTTTTCACTGCTTAAGAAGAAAAAGATTTCTTTTGGTTATATCAGGGAACTGCTGGGTTGCCTTAGAAAAATTTAATTTCCTTTCTATCTTTCTAAATCCATCACAAGGGAAATGAAATGGCAAAAGCATATGACAATTCTTGTTAAAATGGATTATGTGAAAACAGCAGTTTAATGGTAACTCATTAAATGCAATGAAATGACATTCACTTTAAGGTTAAGTAATTCAGTACTAATTATATATTTCACTACTGGTAGTAAAGGAGTTTGTAGTTGGAGTAAATAAAAGATTTCTCTCAAGAACAGCACAAAAATACAACAGGTATGACTATGAACCAACCTCACTTCAGGAAAGACAACATAACAAAACATTTTTGTTATATTGTAAACTGTAAGTAGTATATACAAATACAATACAGACATTTTCAACTATGTAATTTAAAAATTACTTAGTTTTCATATCTAACATTAAATTCCTACAATACCTACGGTTCTCTGTCTTCCTGTATACCCGATAACAGAAGCAGAATCCAACTTCAAAAATTCCTTAATTTTATTATATTAAGATGAAGGACTTAGTCCAAATTCCTAGTTGGTATTACAAAGACGTGATTTCCAAATATGAAAGTTTGGGCAGTTTTTATTACAGGTAAAGTTTACAATCTCCTCTGTTATCAGTATCAAACAACCTGACTTCTGCAGCATCTTTACAACAAAGCTCAATTTCTAATAATTTCATTGTTGATATTAACATGTCACTGTCGCCCTCAGTGGACTAGTGGTTAGCATGCTTGCCACTAGACCCAAAGTTTGCAGGTTCAAACCGGCCGAGGAATAATGCCAGTACCTTCTTTCCACGCTACCATTCAAGTACAACACTTAACATTCTCCAAAGATATGAACATAATGCTAATGTACAATGGATATAAAAACATTAATGTCAGAGCATAACAGATACTGATATATCATAGTGACAAAGAGAAATAAGTCAGGATTTGTCAATGACGCTTTAGCAGAAAGTTGGATGGTAAATGTGCAACAATCTGGTAAAAGTAATACTGTTATTAATTAAATGCTTGTTTGACTGTTGGTATTTTCTCAACATAGGAGAGAAAGTTAGAAGACTTTTCCATTGTTAAAAGGATGAAATAATTTGCAGAAGCTGGAGAATTTTCAACTTAGCATTTCTACGGAAAAAAATTAAAATTATTATTATACTCCTACTAAATTGGCCTTATTCTCATCTTTACCCATAAATACCTTACAAGAACTTCAAACCCTCAAGAAAATTTTTGTTCTGTAATACACAGACTGGCCCCTAAAACAATGATGCAATAATCACAGTCCTATTAACAAAGGTAAGTACTGTACTTAACAACAAGGAACCCTTTTTTCCACACTAGCAGTTGGTCCTAGGATCCACAAAGTCATGTAAGTCAATGACACAACAGAAGTACACAGACTTAATGGTAACCTCAATCATCAACTGCTCACTAAACCCGGTGGTTCATCAGGTTGATCCAAGTCAGAATCATCACTGGAACACTCATTGTCTGAGACTGTTTTATCCCCTTGAATTCTAATGCTGTTGCATTTTGCACTTAGCTTTACATGCAATGCCTGCAATCTTGTTAGTATATTTCGGTACTGGAATGTACCTCTGTCCTCCCCAAATGGGTCCTGAAAAGTAAACTGCCATTTAATATAAAGATTAAACTTTAGAAGTTTGCAACACATTACAAAATTTGTAATCAAGGTGTCACCATACCACTCACACAAAACAAATAAAGGTCAGGAGGCAAACAAACCAGTGAATGTAACAGACTATTAAAAAAACATGGGTGGGGGCTGATCTGGAGGACCAACTGTTATGGACATACATGGTGAAGAGAAAAATTATGATGTGATTACTGAACTCACATAAGATAATCTGCTCCCAGAAAATTACGAGATAGTGCATGCATTCACGCATGCATGGGCGCACACAGATATTAGTGAATTTATGTAAATTACCATCACACAAAAGAGGGTGTTTTTACTGAAAATCTAAGTCTGAACAGGTAGTCATAAATTCAAACCAGACATCCAAAATGCAAGCCTCAAGGTTTTCTGAAGGATATAGGCAAAACAAACAACAACTTAAACTTAATTACCTGCATATGTTGTCCATGGAGGTGAAGCTTCTTCCTGACTGTGCTTTCATAATAGTCATAGAATTCAAGAAATGTTTTATCCATTACTTCACAAAGTGCCTCAGGGATAGTAAGGCAAGTATCATTTTCCAGCATGCCACATACAGCCACTCTCAGTGTCTCATGTTGGATAATGTCATTGTAGCGTCCTATATCACCAGGACATTTCTCCTGTGAAATTTAAAAGTAATTATATCACTCTAAACAGGCATCCACAGAGGACAACAAAATTAAATACCTTTAAATACAAAGACCTGCACCTCTACTTTTTAATTCCAAGATCATTTAATAATGCTGCATTACAAAAACAAATCCAAGAAATGACTTTTGAAAAATGTATTATTTTCATGTAACGCTCTTAATTCTTTTCTGACTCCATTTATAAGATTACCTTGTGACACTATCGGTCCAACTTTTTTGGATATTCAAATTTTAAATGAAATCTGACTAACTTTTACTGTACTGGAAGAGGCAAGTTTACTACATACTAATATGGAAGGAGAAAAAAAGGGTTAAGCAATATGCATCATAAAAAAGTAGCATGCATTTCTATTTGCCTTTTCAAAAGCAACACATCATATAATATTTTACAGAAAATATACTGCATTACAATCAGCTTGAAATTAATTTATCTTTTGTTCTCACCTATGCTGTTGTAACCTGCCAAATGCTGTATGATTTGCTTTATGTTAAATCTTAAAATATTCTTGGTTCTGTATCATTCCTAACAGACTTTTGGGGACAAGATACATTTATTTAACTAACTATTACATTACATTTTTGGTTCTTATTTCTTCATGCAACAAAAATGTTAACACATTACAAAAAAAAAAATGTTCATTATATTCAATATTAACCTTGTATAAAAAAACTTGCATTAGTCATTTGATGACTTTGGTGTAAATAAACTATGGCTGAAATTACAACAGCCATGAACTCCTTTAATATGTTTTCATAACAAATAATTATTAAATAACAAATTCATTATTTGAATACCTTCCTTACTCCCACACCTTAAAATAAATTCATCAGCCACATACTGTAAGAAATACAAAGTTTTACCATACTCATGAATCATCATTCTTTTCACATCATGAATGACAGTACCACATTCTTTAACAAGCAATGTTTATGGGCAACCAGAGCATGCATCATCTGTTCATTCTTATATGCAGCTTTTATCATTCTATTCATTAGTGTGTGTTCACAAGTAACAGTGCATTACAACCACATAAACTTACTCTTTCAAAGCCAGGTTCATTGTGGTAAGGTTTCTCATTTAGAAGGCTCTGAATAGAGATGAGGACACTGGACAGACTCTGTGCAGGACTCCAGGATGGGCCTGTCCATGTACTGTTAGAAATACCAAATTACATTTCTTCCTCCATTGTCATTACTGAGAAAAATATATTTCAGAACAAGAAGAATGAAAATTTATCTCCAAGGTCAGGGCTTAAATCTTAATCACATATTCTCAGTCACTGAAGTACAGAATGCATAACTTATGCAGCTCATAAATGAGTTTCAATGAACATAGTAAGACATGTTCAACCCTGACAGTAGGAAATTTTTATCAGTACAAGCTCCACATACTTGATTTTAGCTTTCACTGCTTTGACCAGCATATGCTAATATTTCCTAGAAAAGACAAGTGTTCTGGTTACTTAAAACAGCAAATCTACTGAAATATAACCAACCTGAAGCAGTTGTATGATATATGATGTTCTACTAGCAAAATTTTCACCCTAATACTCATTCATTCTGATGGAACACAGAAACAGTTTCCATACCTTCAGTCAATGCATAAATTTGATGTAAAGTTGTCCCTGCACTTAACTAAGCAAAATGCTATAAAGATGTATCGGGAGTAGGGGTACAGCTTCAAACATGTTTAAGACTGGCAAAAGATGGTAGCTGGGTGGGGACCAGTCTTCATTGAGTGTAGTTCTGAAACCCTTATAAATTATCATCAAAAAGGATTTACCAAAACATAAAAATGACATCACAAAAATGACTTACCCTAGTATACTAAGGCATATCTTCCCACACTTATACAGGTTCGGGTTGAAACGGACAGTTCCAGCACCTGTGGTCATCAGCTTCACTCGAGGTGGCCTGATAGGGTAATCAGATGGGCACCGGATAAGAAAGTAGAAAAATCCACCTTCATATGGAGTGTCAAATGAGCCAGTGATAAGCGCATGAATGACAGTCATGTCTTTTTCATCAGGAACAACAAATAGACCTGGTGGTGGCTCATTGTATATGGACATCATATCCCTGTGAAAATAAATAATATATGGGATAAAGGAATGGTCTCAAATAATACAATAATGTCTGATACCTTGCAAATAATTTATTCTGAAAATAACAAGTAATAAGACATGGAAAATATAATTGTATTTTCAACTCAGAAATTTGTTATATACAATTTATTGTGCTTATTTAAATTTCGTAAGATTCTTAAAATATTTACTGAACAGCCACTGTCCATATATTGTTCTATCTATAAACACCAATCTTGCAATGATACACTGAGTGCTATCTCATCTTGCTACCTTCTTCTGTATTACATAATGCACAAATGCATAAACTGGATTTTCCGAACAATGTACCTCTTTGAAAGCATAACTAACATCAGGAAACCACAAGCCAAAAAAAATGAAATAGGTGGAAAATTCTATAAGAGCAGCATTATGGCCAAACATTGCCTGGGTTCCATTAGACACAAAGATAATGATATCTGATCTCCACCCATGTGTGGACAATGATCAATGATATTCAGAGGCACAGCCTGTAATGCCTGAATCATGAACATGGCAGACTGTAAATGTATATATTTGCAGTAACCAGGCAATCTCATACAGAGTGCCATAACCCACAAAACTACAATCCAGATTGTGCTTGTAGTTGTACTGAAGTTGTATGGTACCAAATTATGTACTTTTCTTTTGGAGTTACATCAGGAGACAAAACCAAGTCAGAATAGTTCAGGACATAAAATAAATGTTTCCTAAAGGTGTCTCATATACACATTGGTCAAGGTCCAAGCGAAGATATTGATGTGTCCAATATTAGTTCATCCAACCCTATGCATGTGGTAGGTGACCACAATGTTGATAGACAGGACTACTGCCATTGAATGTTCATCAACTGGGATTATTCTGCCCCCCCCCCTTTTGAAATCCCCTCTCAGTGAGAACCCAAAAGAAAAACCAAATTTCCTCCACTTTCAAAACCTCATACCTCAAAGGGAAATATAATTGTGTCTGTAATGAAAACATGGCTCTGTGCTTACATCGGGTATAAAAACTAGTCCTAAGGTAGTGATTGCATTTTACCAATACTTTAATAATCTTGGTTATCTTCAAATATGTATAACACTCCATGCCCACTTTTGGCAATCCACTCATAAGCAACACACCACCACACAATTAGGAAGCTTTCAAACAAGGTAAAAGTCACTCTGGGTTCATTCTTATAATTCTTTTACTCCAGCACCACCTTCTCCCACACCACCCCATCCACAAAGAGTAAACCAGCATGCCAAAATAACCACAAAACCAAACCATAACCTGCAATTATCTCACAACAGGCTATTATTGCTTGTTAAAAAACTAAGCAAATGCAAGTAAATAAATAAGACCTTCTCAAGAACTGAAACAGAGCAAGACGCTTAAGTATTCTACTTACCTCTTGATTCTTAATAAACATTGATGCGACGCCACTTCTTTCTCATCAGAATTGGTTACTGGGTCCCAGTCCGTACTTATGGAACTCAATGAAGAAGTTGGGAGAGTAACACTGGGCATTTTTGCCATAGCTGTAACACTCCCAGCAATTCAATTACCACCATTTACACAGAACAGAATAAGGTACATAAAACAAACAACATATTCGGCGAAGGATACATTAATTATTTCGTATAATGTTAGAAATTTTTCGCTAATTGTCACTTCGACATACTATTCACAAAAACAAACACAATGTACATTTCACCACATAAGTTCACAGCGAATTCAGACATGAGTTTGGATAACCATATGATACAGTAAACGAGTAACAGCTAAATATAACATTAAGGACCTGCTGAAAAAGAGCATATTAGTTACTTTCATTACTACAGACTGCAATAGTGAGTGTCGTTTCTACAACACAAGGTGGCACCTTTCTCAGACCTTCTTGCACAGTTGGTTACAGTTGATAGTTATCCTATGGTTGGTGTTTAGTTTCAGCATGGCTCAGGATGTACCACAGATTAATGAGGACTGAAAAACTATGATAGGCGAAGCAACAACTTGCTGCAACCTGTGAATAATTCACAAGTAAACACAACAGCAACGTTCCGTCATGTTAGTATTACAAATTGTAGAAAATTAAAAAGTATGACTTAGGGAAGTTCCAAATGGCATAACGCCTACAGCAAGTTTCATTCAAATCCGTCCAGTGATACTCGACGAGTTGAACCATGCGAGCAGACAGTTTTATATGATTAGCCCTGCGTTCATTGCACGCATAGCTTAAAAAGAATGCTTTCCAGTAGCGCTAGTGTGCAGTTATGCACTTGCTGTTATTCAACACCGCATTGTGCAATTCATAGTATTAGAATACTTGTAGATGAATTGGAAATTTCCAGGAAATGTACTATGCAAAATGTGGAAATACAACAGCGAGAGCATTATGATTTGAATCGTAATGCCATTCAATCAACAAGATCAACTATAAATTGTAAAAATCATACGCATCACACAAAAACTGAACGAATAGTTTAGAAGGCATTCGTGGGTCGAACGTGTGGAAGAAAATGGCAAATGTCCTAAGTAATGTATCTAATTTAAGACGAGTACTCGTTGGTTTTAGAGCCCACGATACATATGACAAACCACAGGTGGCTGATTTCTTAACATGCTTAGTTCATCATTTCTCACCGAATGAGATATCAACAACAATAAATTGCAAAATTCAAGATGATATGCTAGTGTTGTACAATCCAAATCAAAGGAACAAGTTCACTGATAAATGTAAACAAAATACAGGAGCACTAAGTGGAACTGAACTGGAATCTGTAACACTTTATGTATGTACTACAGAAATGTATACATAACATTAAGTTTACTAACAAACTTAAATAGAAGTCTATACTTACATAAATTTCATTCTTTGCAGCATTCACCAGAATGCCCACTTTGGAAATTACATGAATATAGCACACCTGTAACACCACAAAACAGGGGGATACATGTTGGAGTTGCAGTTCTTGTGGAGTCATCTGATTCACATGTCCTGATGACACAACGCTGTGATCACATGCGTTCATTTCCTAGAGCTTGGGTACCACCTGGGGGACATCTAGGTTTGTAGCTCCAACCATACAATGTATCTGTGGAATACACTTAAGATGTACATACCTGGCTTTTAACCGAATAAAATAACTCCTTCAAAGGCTTTGTGTATAAAGCAATTTATATTCATTATTGCTCAGCCAAACAGTTTCTCTAGAACCCCTTTAACTTTCTCAAGATTTCTAACAGGTTTTGCTAACTAGTATGGCATTGGCAATAATTGTTTTGCTATATTACATTGTAGTGTTGACATTATCCTTTGTAA